AGCACATTTTATGCCCAATTCATGCAAAACTCCATGTAATCCCAAGGGGTTCACATACTTTTTCTTGCAACTGTAGAATGCCTATTGATTTCCCAATAACCTTCAGACATCTACTGGTCCCCCCGAAAACCTTCGGACATTGGGGGTCACCAGCTCCCCCAAAATGTACATCATCCCCAATAACCTTCAGACATTTACAGTCACCCCATAAACATAGGCATCAGTTTTCCCATAACCATGGGATAAGTCCAACTCCCCCCAATAATCTTCAGACATCTATTGGTGCCCCCCAATAACCTTCAGACATTTACAGTCACCTCATAAACATAGAGTTTGTGATGGAGGGTAGGCAGGACAGAACACACAGAGTAGATGGCAAACCCACAAAGCTTTATTGAGACAAAAAGATGACAGTCACTCAATGGAGGGATTTGCAGGGAGGGTGACCTCGCCAGTAAAGGAGGGGCTAAAGCACTTATAGTCCAGTACCGAGAGCAAGGAAAAAGTCTCTTTTGCAGATTGTACTCCAAAAGGGGGGGGTCAGCACAGGAACAGTTCAGGTAAAACAGGGAGAGTGCATGTATTCACGGATCCAACAGGGTGCCTGGTCTCCTAGGGATAGAAAGTAGGACACAGGTACCTGTTAGGGTCTGGAATATGTGGGCGGTCTCTCCTTTTAGGCTGAGGTCTTAGGCAGCGGGCGGGCGCGTCTCTCCTTTTAGGCTGAGGTCTCAGGCAGCGGGCAGGCAATCTCTCCCCTGGGCTGGGGTCTCCGGCAGCTGGTGGGCAATCTCTCCCCTGGACTGGGGTCTCCGGCAGCTGGTGGGCAATCTCTCCCCTGGACTGGGGTCTCCGGCAGCTGGTGGGCAATCTTCCCTGGACTGGGTCTCAGGCAGCTGGTGGGCAATCTCCCCTGGACTGGGGTCTCCGGCAGCTGGTGGGCAATCTCCCCTGGACTGGGGTCTCCGGCAGCTGGTGGGCAATCTCCCCTGGACTGGGGTCTTAGGCAGCGGGCAGGAAATCCGCCTAGGCTGGGGTCTCAGGCAGGCTTAGATGTGGTCCCCTTCTTAGCTGGGGGTCTGGGCAGAGTCTGGCCATGAAGGTCCCACCGCAGCTGGGCTCCGGTGGCTGCGCAGTGGAGAGAATGACCGGAGCGCCCGGCATCAGTTTCTTAAGCTGATGCAGAACGCTCCCTGGTTGTCTTGGCAACCGGGGCGGGCCGGAGCTGGCGTGTCTTGTTGCCCGGCAACGAGGCACGCCCCCTGGACACGGGCCGCGCTTCTCGTGAGCGTGACCTTTGTCCAGGGACATCCGCAAGTGCGGGAACTTCCCGTGCTGCGGATGACAGGGCTGGGATGGCGTCAGTGAGACGCCGCAGCCTGGAACATCCCTGCAGGAGGTTTGCACCTCTCCGCGGAGAGGTGTGAACCTCGCTACCTTCTCCTCTCCAGCCGCGCCCGAGGAGTAGAAGATAATAGCAGGGGTGATGAAAGCCGCACCTCTCATCCATCTGCCGCAGGATGAGAGGTGGAGGGGGGTCAATGGGCAACGGAGAAAGCAGGTATGGAGACAGGGGACACAGTGAGGGGGGCCAGGATAACACTGGGCCCCCTGGTGACATCAAAAGACCTGGTGCAGGAAATTATTTAATGCAATTTGGGGACATGTAGCAAGCTGGCAGTGAGGGGGAAACTACAGTAATTGAATTTAGCCATTTGGCAGGGTGACACGGAGGACATACAGTGGTTGAATCTGGGGGACGTTTGGTACAGGGAATTAATAAGAGGATTAAGCAAAATCAATAATTGGCAGGGCCCCTATACCGTGACAGAGGTCATAAGCTTTTCCATAACCATTGGGCAAGTACAACTCCCCCCAATAATCTGAAGACATCTACTGGTCTTGCCAAAGTCCATCGGACATCTACAGTCACCCCATAAACATAGGGGTCATCAACTTTCCCATACCCATGGGACACATACAACTCTCCCAAATAATCTGAAGACATCTACTGGTCCCGCCAAAAACCATTGGACATCTACTGTTCCCCCCTAATAACCCCCAGACATCTACTGGTCTCCCTAATAACCTTCAGAAATTGACAGTCACCTCATAAACATAGGGGGTCATCAGCTTTCCCATAACCATGGAACATCTACAACTCCCCTCAATAATCCTCAGACATCTACAGGTCCCCCAAAAGACCATCGGATATCAACTGATCCCTTAATAACCTTCAGATGACTGCATTCTCCCCATAAATGTAGGGAGTCTTCAGCTTCCCCAGAACATTTGGAACATGTACAACGTCCCCAATTACCTTTGGACATCTACTAGTCCCCTCAATAACCTTTGGCCAGCTACTGTCCCCCCCAAAAAAAGCCCATCAGATATCTACTCGTCTGCCAATAACCTTTGGACATCTCCTGGTCTTCTGCAAATAACAGACATCTACTGGTCCCCCCAATGAGCTTTGTACATCTATTGGTCCCTCCCAAGAAATGTAAGGGGTTATTAGCTCCTCCCTAACTATAGGATATCTATTGGTTTCCCAATAACCTTCGGACATCTACTGACCCCCCAATAACCTTTAGACAGCTACTGTTCCCCCAATAACATTCAGACATCAGCTGGTCCCCTAATAACCTTTTGATGAATGCATTCTCTCCATAAATGTAGGAAGTCATCAGCTCCCCCTTACTTATTGGACATCTACAACTCTTCCAATCACCTTCAGACATCAACTAGTCCCTGAATAACCTTCAGATGACTGCATTCTCCCCATAAATGGGACATGTACAACTTCTAATAACCTTTGGACATCTGCCCCCCCCCCCCCCCAATAACCTTCAGACATCTACTCATCCTTCCAATATTGTAGGAGGTCATTAGCTCCTCCCTAACCATAGGATACCTATTGGTCTTCCAATAACCTTGAGACATCAACTGGTCCCCCAATAACCTTCGGATGAGTACGTTCACCTCATAAATGTAGGGAGTCATCAGCCCCCCCATAACTATTGGACATCTACAACTCTTCCAATACCCTTCAGACATCTACTGGTCCCCCCATTAGCTTGTCTCTAATCATGGGAAACCTATGGTCCACCAATAACCTGCAGACATCAACTGGTCCCTCAATAATCTTCGGACATCTACAGTCACCCCATTAACATAGGGGTCATCAGCTTTCCCATACCCATAGGACATGTACAACTCCTCCCAATATCCTTAAGACATCTACTAGTCCCCCAATAACCTTTGGACATCTACCAGTTCCCACAGTAACAATTGGACATTTACTGGTCTTCCCCATAAACTTTGGACACCTACTGGTCCCCCAATAACCTTCAGACATCTGCTGGTCTCCAAATAACCTTTGGAAATCTACAGGTCTTCCAAAAAATACCATTCAGACATCTATTGTGGTTCAAAACTTTATTAGCATGTTGATGAGGAAAGAAAAATATAAGCAGATTAAACTCTAGTGCTTTAGTCTCGGTCACACTGGTCAGACTTGTCATGCGATTTGATAGTTTCCAATCACACGACAAGTCACACCCTATTGTCCGCAAAGGAAGCGGTCATATTGGTGCGATTCACACTCCGTCGAAGTCACACTGATTTTGAAAGTACTTCATGCACTACTTTTTGCAAGTTTAGGTGCGACCTGCATAGGCATCTCTGCATGAAGTCACACAGATGTCTATGAAGTTGCACCCGAGGTCGCACTGCGTTCTGACTTGAGATTATGGGACTTCAAGTGAAGTCGTACAGTTTCAAAGTTGGATCCAGTGTGAACCAGAGCTCATTTTCTTTTTTATCCTATTCTATTTTTTAAAAAATTCTATTCTGTTCTATTCTATTTATTTTGAAATTCGAATTTCAGAGGACTACTATATTCTAACACTAATACACATAGTCCTTGAAGGAAATCATCAATAGTCAGCAATATGTTTACATTTTTTGAATTTGATTTAGTTTTCTAATTCGATTTGAATTTCGGAAGAAATTTCATTTTGCTTTTCTGGATTCGTTTGAATTTGTAACTATTGTAATATGGAAATTTGGGTACATCCAAATCTTCAAATAATGAACATTTAGACTGAATTTCAATTCAGCATGAAACAAACCGCACGTCTACTTGAAACTATTTTTTTTACTTTAATTTTTTTTATGAGCTAGGGAATAAATATGAAAAACCTGTCATGTTTTTGTGAGTGTGTGTTTTTTCTTTATGTTTTGCCATCTGTATACCATTTTGTGCAGACACAACAGGAAGTGAGAGGAAATCCCTGCTTAGTTGTCACCGGAAAGAAGTGTCCCAATTTAATGAAATTCTCTGGGCACAACAAAGGAATCTTTGCACTAATCACACTGGTGACTAGGAACCTCTATTACAGATCTAATAATAGCACCATTACCATTATATCCCTAATATTAGCCCCTTGATGCCCACCAACTGTTTGTTTTTCCAACATGTTTGGTCTTTTTTCATTTATATAATAAAAAATAGAAACCCCAGTGGTGATCAAATACCACAAAAAAAAGATATAAATTTAATTTGGGTACAGTGTTGCATGACAGCGCAATTATTAGTTAACCACTTGCCCTCCAGAGGATTTACCCCCTTCCTGATCAGGCCATTTTTTGCGATACAGCACTTCATTACTTTAACTGACAATTGCGCGGTCATGCAGCGCTGTACATAAATGACATTTCCGTCCTTTTTTTTCCACAAATGGAGCTTTCTTTTGGTGGTATTTGATCGTCTGTGCGTTTTTCTATTTTCTTTGCGCTACAAACAACAAAAGACTGTAAATTTTGAAAAAAAAAAAACAATGTTTTTGACTTTTTGCAATTAAACATATCCAGTAACAAAATGTATTCTGCGACATGTTTTTGCTAAAAGATATCCCAATACGTGTAAATGAATTGGTTTACATGAAAGTTATAGCGTTTACAAATGACTGTATATATGCTGGAATTTTGGTTTTAATTTTTTTCTTACTAGTAATGGTGGCAAACAGCGACTTATTGGACTGCGGCGGGCATTCTGACACGGGGGGGGGGGGACTGACTAACTACCACTGGCACCCCCAGTGACACTAATACAGTGATCAGTGCTAATAAAAAACACTGACACTGTACTAATGGCACTGGGCAGGAAGGGGTTAACATCTGGGGCAATCAAGGGGTTAACTGTGTGCTGTGTTTTACTGTGTAGACAAGCTGCTTTATATTGCTCTGCCGTGCACTGGTGACCAGTGACATATATTACAGATCTAATAATAGAACTCCTTACTACTGTACCCCCAATATTAGCCCCCCAAAACACTGGTGATTAGTGATCTCTATTACAGAACTAATAATAGAACTCACTACTGTACCCCGAATATTAGCCCCCCAAAACACTGGTGACCAGTGACATATATTACAGATCTAATAATAGAACTATTTACTACTGTACCCCCGATATTAGCCCCCCAAAACACTGGTGATTAGTGATCTCTATTACAGAACTAATAATAGAACGCCATACTACTGTACCCCTGATATTAGCCCCCCTAAACACTGATGACCAGTGATCTATATTACAGATCTAATAATAGAATGCCTTACTACTGTACCCCTAATATTAGCCCCCCTAAACACTGGTGACCAGTGATCTATATTACAGATCTAATAATAGAATGCCTTACTACTGTACCCCTAATATTAGCCCCCCTAAACACTGGTGACCAGTGATCTATATTACAGATCTAATAATAGAATGCCTTACTACTGTACCCCTAATATTAGCCCCCCTAAACACTGGTGACCAGTGATCTATATTACAGATCTAATAATAGAATGCCTTACTACTGTACCCCTAATATTAGCCCCCCCCTAAACCACTGGTGACCAGTGACACTATTTACAGATCTAATAATAGAACTTACTACTGTACCCCTAATATTAGCCCCCCCTAAACACTGGTGACCAGTGACATATATTACGGATCTAATAATAGAACTCTTTACTACTGTACCCCTAATATTACCCCCCCAAAACACTGGTGACCAGTGACATATATTACAGATCTAATAATAGAACTTACTACTGTACCCCTAATATTAGCCCCCCAAAAACACTGGTGGTTAGTGACATATATTACAGATCTGATAATAGAACTCTGTACTACTGTACCCCTAATATTAGCCCCCCCAAAAACACTGGTGACAAGTGACATATATTACAGATCTAATAATAGAACTCTTTACTACTGTACCCCTGATATTAGCCCCCCAAAACACTTGTGATTAGTGATCTCTATTACAGAACTAATAATAGAACGCCATACTACTGTACCCCCGATATTAGCCCCCCTAAACACTGGTGACCAATGATCTATATTACAGATCTAATAATAGAACGCCTTACTACTGTACTCCTAATATTAGCCCCCCTAAACACTGGTGACCAGTGATCTATATTACAGATCTGATAATAGAACTCTTTACTACTGTATCCCTGATATTAGCCCCCCAAAACACTGGTGATTAGTGATCTCTATTACAGAACTAATAATAGAACTCCTTACTACTGTACCCCTGATATTAGCCCCCCTAAACACTGGTGACCAGTGATCTATATTACAGATCTAATAGAACTCTTTACTACTGTACTCCTAATATTAGCCCCCCTAAACACTGGTGACCAGTGATCTATATTACAGATCTAATAATAGCTGAACTCACCATATTGTGCCTGATATTAGCCCCCCCCCCAGTACTAATCACTTACATTTTATAATAGCCCCTTTACCTTGTTATCCCCAATATCAGCACCCCTAAACACCCCAGCACCCCTAAACATTGGTGACTACTGAACTGTATTGCAGTTCTCATAACCCCATTTTCCATATTAGCCCTCTATACACTGGTGGCCAGTACTTTGTATTGCAGATCTAATAGTTAGTCCTGGTTCACACTGGATGCAAATTGGCATGTGATTTGCATGCCCTGCGACTTGCAAATTGCATGCCGAGTCGCCCCCTATTGTCTGCAATTAGAGCGGTCATATCGGTGCGGTTCTGACTTCATCGGAGCCGCACCGATTCCAAAAGTAGTACATGTTTGGTGCGATTTGCATAGAAATCTGTATCAGATATCTTGCAAATCGCACCTGAAATTGGAGGGTCCCCCGACTTTGAAATCATGCAATTTCACTGTAAGTCGCACGATTTCAAAGTTGGGCTTGATGTGAATGGAGGGTTAGGGTGGCAATTAAACTCACTTGGTGCTTATCTGCATTCAGTTAGCCCCAGAACCTGTGTATTTAATATGTGTTCTGTTTTAAAGGTATGAGCTGGCAACTGTATAATAATATCCCCATTTACCCTAATATCCTTAATCCCCCCCCCCCTCCCAAACACAAGTGATTGCTGACCTATATTGGGATCAAATAATTTACCATATTATCTGTAGCACCCTCTAGTGTGCTATTGGAATAGTGTAGGCAAATCTATTGTGCATGACTCGTGGTAACCGCGTGAGTCTGTGACAAAGGTTTACTGCAGGTCAAGCTGGATGGCTTAACAGGTTGGGACTCTGTCGCCTCCAACTGGTTCTGGAGAACCATGGGAACCTTCCAGAAGCCAGTGGGTAGAGACCTAATCTGCATGTTTATGGGAATCTAACCAATCCCAGATTTGGAGGCCCTGGTAGAGTGGTGTATCATGAGATAGTCAGGCCGGCTGGGGAGTCGGGTGGAAGATGGGGTGCTACGGAGGCTGTCTGTGGCCTGGGACGGGTCCCCTAGGTCTGGGGGGCTGGTCTCAGGCTGGCTCAGGAAGGTCCATTCAGCAATATGGCATGAACAGGATCAAGGCCTGGGAGCAGTGGGAGCAAGGAGGACAACATGAGTACATCAGCACACCCAGGGATCTACGAGGGGAGAGACTACCACATGTAGTGAGCTTTCAATGGACAGTGCTGGGCTTAACACTTTATCCTTGTCCTGGGGGATCTTCAGAGCAGCCAGGAGGGCTGGTAGTGTCTGCAGGCTGTGGAGCTGGTATGGAGCAGTTCTACAGGGGAGAGAAGCAGGGGTGGACTGACCACTCATGGGGCCCCCAGGCAATAGGAGGATCATGGGGCACCTGTGTCCTTGCCCACACTCAAAGCACACCCAAAAAAAGCCTATAAAAAGGTACCAGGGGCATTTCATGGGCCCCCCTACTGCCCTGGGCCCTCGGGCAGTGCCCGAGTGCTCACATGGTCAGTCCGCCCCTGGAGAGAAGACATCTCTGCATGAAGTTACAAGTCAAATTGATTTTTAGAGGGGCTGCAAGTTCTTTGCCCGTAAACGGCAGTTGCTACTGATCCCCAAAAACTGACAGTTTTCAAGGAGAAGAACAGTCCAGGATCTGTTTCTGTAAATAGGAAGGAAGTTGTCCCCGGGCATTGATTCAGTCAAGTTGGGCATCCCATAATCCCTATTACTCCATCCAAGTTACATCCCCTAATAAAATGACAAAAACCAAGCTCCTGGACTGTTCACTGACTGGATGCAAGTGTGGAAAATGTGTGTTGCTTGGCTGTGAAGAGCTTAGGGGTACCGAGAAATACAGCGGCCCTCACAAGGGTAGTGCTACATATCCTTAAGGCTCGGTTCACACCTATGCAGTTTGCGCTTGATCCGTTTCTGCAGTGCTTTTTGCTGTGCGTTTTTGCACATGCGTTTTTGCCACGTTTTGCTTTTTTTTGTGCTGCTAGGCAAATTAAAACGCACCAAAAAACACAGCAAAACTGCACTACATGCTTTTTGCAGCATTTCCATTGAAGTCTATAGAAGCAAAAATGCAACGTTTTGTGTTAAAAAAAAAAAAGTCCCTGACCCTTTCCAAAAAACGCAGCAGGTGAAAACGTGGAAATGTGAACGCGTCCCATAGGAAATCATGTTAAATGGACTGTACTGCGTTTCTTCAAAACAGCAAAAAACACTTAGGTTTGAATCTAGGGTAAGGCTAGGTTCACACCTATGGATTTTGCATGTGATCCATTTTTGAAGTGCACTTTGCATTTTTTTTTACACGTTTTTGCCGCATTTGGATGCATTTTGCATTTTTTTTTCTTGTTGCTAGGCAGATTAAAATACAAAACGCATCGAAAACGCAATACATGCTTTTCTGCAGCGTCTTCATTGAAGTCTATCGAAACAAAACATTTTTATTTTTATTTTGACGCATTTATTTTTATTTTTTTTTTATTTTTCTTGTTGCTAGGCAGATTTTAAATGGAAAATGCAGCAAAAAACATGGCAAAAGCTCAGCAAAAACGCAATACATGCTTTTTTTTTTTTTGCAGCGTTCCCATTGAAGTCTATAGAAGCAAAAACGCAACGTTTTGTGTTAAAAAAAGTCCCTGACCCTTTCCAAAAAACACAGCAGGTGAAAACGCGGAGATGTGAACGTGTCCCATAGGAAATCATGTTAAATGGACTGTACTGCGTTTCTGCAAAACACAGCGGGAAACGCTTACGTGTGAACCTGGGGTAAGGCTAGGTTTACACCTATACATTTTGCATTTGATCCATTTTTGCAGTGCGTTTTGCCTTTTTGCACATGTTTTTTGCCGTGTTTTTGATGCATTTTGAGTTTTTTTTTTCTTGTTGCTAGGTGGATTAAAACGCAAAATACATCAAAAACACAATATATGCTTTTCTGCAGCGTTCCCATTGAAGTCTATAGAAGCAAATAAGCAACGTTTTGTGTTCAAAAACATCCCTGACCCTTTCCAGAAAACGCAGCAGGTGAAAATGCAAAGATGTGAACCTGTCCCATAGGAAATCATGTTAAATGGACTGTACTGCGTTTCTGCAAAACGTAGCGGAAAACACTTAGGTGTGAACCTAGGGTAAGGCTAGGTTCACAAGTATGCATTTTACATTTGATCCATTTTTGCAGTGCGTTTTGTGTTTTTGCATGTGTTTTTTGTCGGGTTTTTTTTCTTGTTGCTAGGTATATTAAAACGCACCAAAAACGCAAAAACTACATGCTTTTCTGCAGCGTTTCCATTGAAGTCTATAGAACCAAAAGCGCAACTTTTTGCATTCGAAAAAGTCCCTGACCCTTTCCAAAAAACTCACAGGGTGAAAACACGGAGATGTGAACCTGTCCCATAAGAAATCTTGTTAAATGGATTGTAGTGCGTTTCTGCAAAATGCTGCAGATTAAAACGCATCAAAAACGCAGGAAAACCGCACTACATGCTTTTCTGCAGCGTTTCCATTGAAGTCTATAGAACCAAAAGCGCAACTTTTTGCATTCACAAAGGTCCCTGACCCTTTCCAAAAAACGCACCGGGTGAAAACGCGGAGATGTGAACCTGTCCCATAGGAAATCATGTTAAATCATGGCTGTAGTGCGTTTGTGCAAAACACAAAATGCCGCGGAAAAATGCTTAGGTGTAAACCTAGGGTGATATAGTATTAGCCCACCTAAACACCTGTGCCCAGTGATCTATAGTGCAGATCTAATAATAGCCCGTTACCATATAATCCCAAGTATCAGCCCCCCCAGCATTGATGACCAATGACCCTGTATTGTGGATCTAATAATAGCCCCTGTTACCATATAATCCCTAATATCAGCCCCCCCCAGCATTGATGACCAATGACCCTGTATTGTGGATCTAATAATAGCCCCTGTTACCATATAATCCCTAATATCGCCCCCCCCAGCATTGATGACCTATGACCCTGTATTGTGGATCTAATAATAGCCCTAATAATAGTTACCATATAATCCCTAATATCAGCCCCCCCAGCATTGATGACCTATGACCCTGTATTGTGGATCTAATAATAGCCCTTGTTACCATATAATCCCTAATATCGGCCCCCCCCCCTGAGCATTGATGACCTATGACCCTGTATTGTGGATCTAATAATAGCCCGTTACCATATAATCCCTAATATCGGCCCCCCCCTGAGCATTGATGACCTATGACCCTGTATTGTGGATCTAATAATAATATAATAATATCAGCCCCCCAGCATTGATGACCTATGACCCTGTCTAATAATAGCCCTTGTTACCATATAATCCCCAATATCAGCCCCCCCCCAGTATTGATGACCTATGACCCTGTATTGTGGATCTAATAATAGCCCTTGTTACCATATAATCCCTAATATCGGCCCCCCCCCCAGCATTGATGACCTATGACCCTGTATTGTGGATCTAATAATAGCCCTTGTTACCATATAATCCCTAATATCGGCCCCCCCCCCCCCTGCATTGATGACCTATGACCCTGTATTGTGGATCTAATAATAGCCCTTGTTACCATATAATCCCTAATATCAGCCCCCCCAGCATTGATGACCTATGACCCTGTATTGTGGATCTAATAATAGCCCTTGTTACCATATAATCCCTAATATCGCCCCCCCCAGCATTGATGACCTATGACCCTGTATTGTGGATCTAATAATAGCCCTTGTTACCATATAATCCCTAATATCGGCCCCCCCAGCATTGATGACCTATGACCCTGTATTGTGGATCTAATAATAGCCCTTGTTACCATATAATCCCCAATATCAGCCCCCCCAGCATTGATGACCTATGACCCTGTATTGTGGATCTAATAATAGCCCTTGTTACCATATAATCCCTAATATCAGCCCCCCAGCATTGATGACCTATGACCCTGTATTGTGGATCTAATAATAGACCTTGTTACCATATAATCCCTAATATCAGCCCCCCCCAGCATTGATGACCTATGACCCTGTATTGTGGATCTAATAATAGCCCTTGTTACCATATTGTCTATACTATTAGCAGCCCCTAACACAGGTGACCAATGATGTATATTGCAGGTCTAATAATAGCCCCCCGTTACCGTAATATCTATAATATCCCCCCACCCCCAAACAGTTGCGGCCTTTGGCTTATATATATAGGGCCTCTAGTAATAACCAATTACAACTGATAGGCAGTCTCTTATAAAACGAACGACAGTCACATCATGCCTGATGAACGATCAAACAACCTACACAGGCCTGGCGCGGCTCCCACTGCTGCCTGCATGCGCCAATGTTCCCCACTCCTCCTCTGTGACGGCCGACCAGAAAAAAAGCTGCCTTGATTTCCAGTAGAAAGGGGCCAGTCAATAAAACAGCGTGTGAAGGTCAAGGCTCTGTTTTGTCTTCACTGGCTGCATGCTTGTTCTATGCCAATGACTACTTTCTCTTTGACAACGGCGGTATCTGCATACACCACATTTCAGCAGGATGAGAAGAACCACCACTGTTTGCCTTTATCCACCCACCCAGTGGTTACAGTCCGTTGCCTGGCCCCTCCCACCAGCCCCCTGCCCTTGCTAGCCTCGTGTCTGACCCTCCCACCAGCCATGATCTGCCTGCATTGCACAGATAAGCACAGGGGTCTAGTGATGTGATAAGGCACATAATAAAAAAAAATTTTTAAACTTTATAGTGTTTTACAGTAACAACATCACATCAAATCAATGCGTTGTGCCTTTTCCATTTCTGGCTCTTCCTGTCAGACTTGTCCATCCAGATACATCAGGGTGCAGAAAATTCCAAGAAACTTTAGGCATATCGTCTACATAACACAAGATTTTTTGGATACTTTATACTTCTGTAAAAATAAAATAGATTGTATTTCTCAAGTCCTCAGTTTTTCAGGTAGGGGGCGCGCGCCGCGGCTGTCAATTACTGGAACCAGGCCGATGATTACTCGCCAGCGCCTGGTGATTGCTGAGCATCTCTGATGGGGAGGAGAACTGTTTGTAAACAAAACAGTTCTCCCTTTCAGCTCCTGCACACTGCTTTGGATGGCTGTGCACAGCACAGCCATCCAAAGCAGTGTGCTTACAGTGAAGCACACAGACACAAATAAAAAAGTGCACAGTTAACCCTTTGACCGCCTTCATGTAAACCCCTTCCTGCCCACTGCCTTTAGTACAGTGTCAGTGCTATTTTTAGCACTGATCACCGTATTGGTGCCACTGGGGATGTCGGTGACACCAAGTCAGTTCCCCCCCAGTGTCAGAATGCCCGCTGCAGTCCCGCTATAAGTCGCTGATTGCTGTTATTACTAGTTAAAAAAAATAAAAATTAGCAAAGCTGTAGCAGAATAAATTTTGGACTAAATTTATGATGAAATTTGATTTTTAAAATCTTTTAACTGGACATGTTTAATAGCAAAAAGTAAAAAAATATTGTTTTTTTCTCAAAATTGTCGGTCTTTTTTTTTTAATAGTGCAAAAAATAAAAAACGCACATGAGTCAGTCCCCCCCCCCCCCCCCCCCCCCCCCCCACAGTATCAGAATGCCCACCACAGTCCTGCTATAGGTCACTGATTGCAGCCATTACTAGTAACAAAAAAAAATCCCAATATATATACTGCCACCGCCATTTGTAGACGTTATAACTTTCATGTAAACCAATTAATTTACATGTATTGGGATTTTTATTTAGCAAAGACATGGAGCAGAATACATTTTGGCCGAAATGTATGATGAAATTTGATTAAAGCGGAGTTCCACTCACCTGTCAAAAAATAAAATTCAGCAGCTACAAAAAACTGTAGCTGCTGACTTTTAAAAAACAGCCACTTACCTGTCCCTCTGTCCTGTGGTGTGTCCCCCGCAACGCGTTACACCGGCCATCCTGTATTCCATGCCCCGGCATCTTCAGTGTAGGCACCCGGCTGTGTGACAACTTGCGGCTTCACAGCCGGGTACCCACTGCGCATGCGCGAGTAGCGCTACGCTTCATGAACGGTCCTGTAGTCTTCTGGGATCTGTCACGTGTCCCAAAAGACTACAGGGAGGGAGGACAAGTTCCACTTCCAAGCGCCTAGGCGATCGGACTGGAAGTGGGAGTGGGTAGCTGTTAAATTCGGGTACCCGCTCCCCCGCCCCCCAAAGGTGCCAATCCTTAATGGGGAGCAGGGGAGCAGTCCTTAAAGTGGAACTTCCCCTTTAGGGTGGAGCTCCGCTTTAATTAAATTTTTTTACTGGACGTATTTAATAGCAAAAAATAAAAAATATAGTTTTTTTCTCAAAATTGTCAGTCTTTTTTTGTATAGCGCAACAAATAAAAACCGCACAGGCGATCAAATACCACCGAAAGAAAGCTCTATTTGTGGGAAAAAAGGACGTAAATTTCATTTGGGTGCAGCGTTGCATGACCGCGCAATTGCATGACCGCACAAAAGTAATGCAGCGCCGCAACCAGGGACGGACTGACCATTTGGAAACTTGGGCACTGCCCGAGGGCCCGGGGTCAGTAGGGGGCCCCATGAGATGCCCCTGGTACCTTTTTCATAAGCTTGAGTTTGGGCAAGGACACGGGCCCCATGATCCCCTATTGCCCGGGGGCCCCATGAGTTGTAAGTCCGCCCCTGGCCGCAACGCAAAAAATGGCCTGGTCAGGAAGGGGGGGGGGGGAATCCTCAGGAAGGCAAGTGGTTAATCAGCGTTTTTTGGTAGGGGCATCTTTCTGGCTGGAAAAAAAAAAAAAAAAACACAGAATTAGTGGTTTCAAGAGGAGCTTTTTAGTTGTAAAAAATGCTCTAAGTCTAGGTTCACACCCATGCAGGTTGCGTTTGAGGCGCATTTTTTGCACTTGCATTTTTGATGCATTTTGTGTTTTTTTTTCTTGTTGCTAGGCAGATTTTAAATGCAAAACGCGTAAAAAACACGACGACTATCAAACCACCGGGTGAAAACGCACAGGTGTGAACATGTCCCATAGAAAATCATGTTAAATGGACTGTACTGCGTTTCTGAAAAACGCTCCAGAAAACGCTTAGATGTGAACCTACGGTAAAGCGTGACAAACCGGCATTTTTTAGCCTTTTTTAGCCAGATTTTTTTTCTGTGTAAAAAAAATGCTAAGAAAACACTTAACGCAGAAAACGCTAAACACTGATGCAATAATGCTAAACGCAGAAAAACTAATGTATTTAACCTCCCTGGCGGTATTCCCGAGTGTAGCTCGGGGTAAAATGTCAGTACCAGAAGCGGTAACCCCCCCGAGCTACACTCGGGCTTACCATGCGGCGCTGCATAGGGAGTCCCTGCAGAGCTTACCTTGTCCTTCGCTCCCGCGATGTGTCCCCTGCAGCGTTCCCTGGCCATCTCCTCCGGCCGATGCCGCCATCCGGCTTCTGTGTTCCGGTCCCTGTGACGTCGGGACATACGGGCGGCAAATTTGAAATTTTTTAAAAATTTCATTTTTTTTTTTAAATGACTATTACATAGTAAAACATTGCTGTTTCAAACCATTTCACATACATTTTGTCCCGAGTGCTTTGTCCTGTGTCCTGCCTGCATTTTGACTGTTCTTTCTGCCTGGAAACTTAGAAACGTCCATGGCGTCCAAAAAGCGTCCCTTTACGTCAAAAGCGGTTTTAGACCGGCTAGAGAACAGCGATAGTAAATCAGAACCACTTGCAGAATTGAGTGATAATGATTCGTGGGGAAATTCATCATCAGACACTGAAAACGATTTTGCGACTTTGCTCAGCGATGTGCGAATTTGCCTCTGTATTTCAAATTTCAGTGTTTTTGGTTTGATTATATTATTGAATTAAATGTATTTATTATTATATTATTTTTTATGATTATTAATTAAATTATAATTTATGATTTCGTGTTTCAAATTTTATCATATCCGGGATGTTTACTAGACTCTTGTTCGGACAGATTTCAGTGAGTTATTCCTAAAAATTACAGCCTACAATAAAAAAAAACTACATATTTCCATGCAAAATAATGGTACCGCTTTCAGCACAAAAAATCGGAAAGAATCATACCGCTAGGGAGGTTAAAGTGACTTTATACAGCTAACGCTAATGGCGTTTTTAAAGCGTCCAGTGTGCATGAGGCCTAACTAGGAGAGTGCTGCGTGGTGCAACTTCTGACAATTGTTCACACTGACATTGCTGGTTGGCTTTTAAAGGTGGGAATAGTGGAAGGGACGGTACAAGGGCCACATGCATGCAGCAATACGGCCCCCAAGCAATATTATGTCCAATTGTGACAGAATGATGTCTGAGTGTACTGCTGGATGAGGAAGTTGGGAATTGATATGTTCTAGATATCAACAGAATGGAAGACTTTGTCTGCTGCACTTTGCACTCCACACCACAACACATACACTATATTGCCAAAAGTATTGGTCTCCTGCCTTTCCACGCACATGAACTTCAATGGCATCCCAGTCTTAGTCCGTAGGGTTCAATATTGAGTTGTCCCGCCCTTTGCAGCTATAACAGCTTCATCTCTTCTGGGAAGGCCGTCCACAAGGTTTAGGAGGGTGTCTATGGGAAGGTTTGACCATTCTTCTAGAAGCATTTGTGAGGTCGGGCACTGATGTCAGACCAGAAGGTCTGGCTCTCAGTCTCCACTCTAATTCATCCCAAAGGTGTTCTATGGGGTTGAGGTCAGGACTCTGTGCAGGCCAGTCAAGTTCCTCCACCCCAAACACGCTCATCCATGTCTTTATGGACCTTGCTTTGTGCACTGATGTGCAGTCATGTTGGAACAGGAAGGGGCCATCCCCAAACTGTTCCTACAAAGTTGGGAGCAAGAAATTGTCTTGGTATGCTGACACCTTAAGAGTTTGCTTCACTGGAACTAGGGGGCCAAGCCCAACCCCTGAAGGACAACCCCACACCATAATCCCCCCTCCAGCAAACTTTACACTTGGCACAATGCAGTCAGCAAGTACCGTTCTCCTGGCAACTGCCAAACCCAGACATGTCCATCGGATTGCCAGATAGAGAAGCGTGATTGGTTACTCCAGAGAACACATCTTCACTGCTCTAGAGTCCAGTGGCAGCGTGCTTTACACCACGGCATCCGACGCTTTGCATTGCACTTGGTGATGTAAGGCTTGAATGCAGCTGCTCGGCCATGGAAACCCCATTCCATGAAGCTCTCTACACACTGTTGTTGTGCTAATCTGAAGGCCACATGAAGTTTGGAGGTCTTTAGTTATTGACTCTGCAGACAGTTGCCGACTTCTGCGCACTGTGCGCTTCAGCATGCGCTGACCCCGCTCTGTCATTTTACGTGGCCTACCACTTCATGGCGAGTTGCTGTTGTTCCCAGTTGCTTCCACTTTGTTATAATCCCACTAACAGTTGACTGTGAAATATTTAGTAGCAAGGAAATGTCACGGATGGACTTATTGCACAGGTGGCAACCTATCACGGGACCACGCTTGGAGTCACTGAGCTCTGGAGAGCGACCCATTCTTTCACAAATGTTTGTGCCTAGGTGATGATTTTATACACCTGTGGCCAAGGAGGTGATTGGAACACCTGAATCCATTGATTTGGGGGAGAGACCCAATACTTTTGGCAATATAGTGTAAGCAAAAGAGAGGAGATTAGAGATTACGTGTTACGTGAGCTGCTGAGAGTCAAGTAACTCCTCTTTGCACCTTACCCATTCAGTTCTACTGCTGAACCCAGTCATAAGTGTCAAGTTGTATAATAAACAGGGAAAAACTTTCAAAATGTGCTTTGCTTTGAAAGCAGAACTACAGCCCCCCCCATATGTCAAATTTAAAAATGATCCATATGCACACCTTTTGTCCTCTGATGATTTGTGGGGTCCTCTTCCTATTTGGTTCTTCCCTTACTGTTTGTGGTTTAAAATGATGCAGAGAACAGTGTTGACGTGACATGGATGCTGTTCTCTGCATCATGTTCCTTTGAACCCAGGCCAGCATGGTAAGCAACCCCAGGAGGCGGTTCCATGACAACATGAGAACATACCCATATGGAAGAAAAGTATATTTGAAATCTTCCCAAATATATTGACATATATTTGAAATGCTACAATTTTGGAC